TGTCTAGGACTGGCTGGGCAAGAAAACTGGGTCTTGGATGAGAAGCTTGAGGAATAAAACTGGGACTGGGTAGGCAAGGAGAATCGGACTGTGACAAGGATCCAAGGCTGTGGAAGAAAGAGGGGGACTGTGCATAGAATGGACCTGCTCTGGGGGTGAATCTGAGTGATGCAATGAAGGAAGCTGTTGTTTGTAGGACCCCTGCTTTACTTGTTGCATAGTAGGTAGTGAGTGAGGCAGGGGATTGCTGGAAGAGAAAGGACTGTCTCTTGGTTAAGGCAATTGAATGTGGCTCTGGAGAACTGGATTTTATCCCTACCTCTGCCACAGAGTTCCTGTGTGATGCTGAGTAAATCACATAAACAAAACCTTTCACAGTGGGTCACTACGTTATTTCTCACTTTTCGGTTGCCCAACTTGATACCCTGGGGTCTGGTATGCAGAAGTGCTGAATGCTCACAGCTGCAACTCAAGTCTATGGGAGTTGTGCTTTGAACATTTTAAGTATTCTGAAAAACCAGGTCCTGGGCATCTCAAACCAGAAAAACAAAATTAGTGTAAATTGTTTACCTTAATCTCTCGGTGCCTTAGTTTGCATCTGTAAAATGGGGATAATATCACCGTATCTGACAGAAGTATTGTAAAGATAAATTTAATATTTATAAAGCAGATACTATAGTGATACTATAGTGCTGAGCACTATAAAAAAGGAAATTAATAATTCTATATTTAGATCTAAATAGTGTGCTGCAAATGAGGCATAGGGCCACACACTGAACTACAAGAAGAAAACAAAATACATGAACTGAATGAGGCAGGGTTCCTGAGTAAAAAATAGTTGTGATTACAGAATATTTCATAATGTTTATGCACAGCAGCAACCTTAATTCTGGCACTTCCTAACTTTTGAGTGTTTGACTTACAAGTTTAATAATGTTCCTTTAATATATTTGTGTGTATGTGTAATGTTATTCTGTTATAGACAGCATAACTGAATGTTACTGTTCTGTTCATTCCGTTTTCTTATGTCTCTGGGTGTTGTATGGTGCCCCAGTGCATGATTCTCAAACTTTCTTCTTTATGTTTATAGGGGCTTTAAAGGGAGAGGAGGAAGTTGATTTTTGAGTAGTGTATTAAAATAGTCTTCCAACCTCAAAATTTCACAGATTTTAGTCTCTAACTAAAAAAATAGAATTGAGAGAATGCATGCTTGCCCATAATTTGAGTTTATTTGGACACAAGTGTGCTTGCATTTTATTTGTTTATGCCCACAAATTATATGCATTCACATTGGCATGCATGGATGCTTAGGTCTACATGTACATTCAAACAAAGCGTGTTTAAAAATTTAAATTAGAAATTGCTTTTAGCTAATTTAGCTCTGAAGTTTGGAACTATCCCATGAGGAAAGATTATTGCTGTGTGAATCTCTGAGCTAACCTAGTCATAAATATAGACTCTTGTTTGAGAGGGGTTTTTTACTTTTCAAGTGTGTTTGATATGGCAGATTTATGTTTAGTACTTCTTTGTTAGGCATGTCAAGAACATAAGTCCGCGTTTACAGTATTAAACTATAACATATACTAAAGATGTATTAATTTGTCCTGTCCATCAGTCCTTTATCCTATATTTCACCTAACTCTAGAGCAAGGAAGAAAAAAGAGAGTCCATTGTACGTCCTAACTTACATAGTTTTGCCACTGAAATTTAAATTGTCACATACATTGTAAGTGGGAGTGTCTTTATAATCTGCAGTAATGCAATCTCCCATTTCCTGTATGAGGGATTTGTTGTTCAGTTACTACAGACTATTTAATTAAAGTTTCTTCTCTATTCATGAATCTGAACAGCTTCATATCGTATTTTTTGGTACAGTACAAAGTACAGTTAGATAAAAAGATGAAGATGAAGTGAATACACAGCTTGAATTCAGAAGATGAATTATTAATATAATAAGCCACTGGAGATTTATAAATAGCGATAGAGCCATGTATTCACAGGTTATTTCTCAAACTGTGAGGTTAGCCTCCTTAAGAAGTCTTTGATCTCTTTTAAAGGAGATTCCAGGAGAAGCAGAAAGAATGCAAATGCAAAATGCTTATTAAATATTATTGGAACAGTATGAACTTTCACTGTCATCAGTGGAAAAGTGAAAAACCCTCTAAGAAACATCAGTGAAAGAGCATTTTTGTTTAGTTGAAAGGAAAAAGCAAGCCTAGAGCTATTGGGACTGTATATAGGAAATCAAAATAAATAAAAGTAAATATCTTTTGAGTTCCAAAAATAAAAAATAAAAGGTACCTCAGGTTTACTGAATATATCCAGTTGAATTGTCTTCTCTCTTTTTAAACTCAAGATAGTAGATAAGGGCCATGGTTAAAAATTCATACTCTGATAGTTTCTGGGTCTCATGTGCAACATTGCAACAATAAAGATACAATCTCCAAGCTACCTACTTAATTCTTTAGACATAAAATGTATTTTTCTACAATCTACTTTATCTTCCTAGAGTTGTCTATGTGTTCGGTCCACCAGTCAAAGAACCTCCTACAGATGTTACACCCACTTTCCTGACAACCGGAGTCCTCAGCACTTTACGGCAAGCTGATTTTGAGGCTCATAATATTCTCAGGGAGTCTGGTAAGTGTTTGGCCTGGATACATTAGCTTGTGCTTGTCACAAAATGCTTGTAATTCTTAAATCAATATGTAGTTACAGATTTAGAGCCGGACTATCAAGAATTGTGCTGTGTATCTTCAAAAAATCACTACTTATTGTGGTGGTAGCCTTATTTTAAATCCTGAGATGAATGGCATGAATTGCTAGATGTTGTCCAAATAGAGTAAAATTTAGAGGGTCTTTAATATTACTCTACAGAAATCACTTCAGAAAGTAATTTTCTGACACTACATAATGCCTGATTATGAATTCATCCTTTGTTTGTCGGGTAACAATTTCTTCCTCTAGCACTTTCCATTTCTCTTTGGAATTGTGTGCATGAATCACAATGTTATTAAATTACTTACGATGTTCTTACCATTTTCACTTGTAGTGATATTCATTCCTTAACCAAACATTAAATATTTGAGAGATGATTTAAAATATTAAACAATGGAAACCTCTGAATAAGTGTAGCCAGACCTGCTGAGAGCAAAAAAAATTACGTGTCATCTGAAGTTTGAGATATTTCTTCAAGCTGAAAAGTAGTTGTTCCTAGATTTGTCTTCTTTGCGGGCTTGAGAAGCAAAAAATTAGTATGAAGAGATTGTTCAGTAGTGAAGACTAGGCTGAATGTGCTAAGAAGTTTTCAATTTCATCTCAAGAAGTTAGAATCCACTTGGTTAAAACAGAAAAGAATGACAGCTAGATAACTCCTAAATGGGCTTTCAAATAGAAGACTTCTAAATAAATTGCTAAATAATGATTTATATAGACAGGAGAATCATCTGTGTTTACCGGGAGTAAATGAACTGTGCAAAGAAAAACCTCCAGATTTCTTCCAAGATCATATTGTTTTGTGAGAACAAGAAAGCTCCTTAAGAATAAGCCAAACCTACAGAGATGCTCACACCATCTGCTACCAAGTTTTTTTTAATTTTAACTTTAAAATAAAAAGGCTAAACTGCATTTGTAAAACCAACAA